AAATTTTTTTGTAGAGATAGAAGTCTCCCTGTGTTGCCCAGGCTGGTCTCAAACTTCTGGGCTCAAGCGATCCTCCCACCTCAGCCTCCCAAAATGCTGGGATTCCAGGCATGAGCCACCCACGCCTGGTCCTCTAATTGTTTTCATGTTGGCTCTGTTCTCCCCAACCCCATTAATTTTTTCTCTTTTTTTAGAGACGTGGTCTCCGTCTGTCACCCAGACTGGAGTGCAGTGCTCAGGTGGGGTGCTGGTGGCTTCCCCACTGGAGGGCCATGGGAGGTGGGAGGATCGGGTGGAAGAGAAGGAGGCAGAAGCAGTTGGGGTCACACACCCCTGCCTTCTCCTCACTGGTTTCCTCCCTTGCTGTTTTTTCCAGCTAACAGCAATTTCTTTTTTCTTCTTCTTTTTCTTTTTTTTTTTTTTTTTTTTTTTTGAGATAGAGACAGAGTCTCACTCTGTTGCCCAGGCTGGAATGCAGTGACCATCTCTGCTCACTGCAACCTCTGCCTCCCAGGTTCAAGTGATTGTCATGTCTCAGCCTCCTGAGGGGTTGATATTACAGGCTTGTCACACCATGCCCAGCTAATTTTTCCATTTTTAGTAGAGACGGGGTTTTGCCAAGTTGGTCAGGCTGATCTTGAACTCCTGACCTCAAGTGATCCACCCACCTCGGCCTTCCAAAGTGCTGGGATTGCAGGCGTGAATCACTGTTCCTGGTCAGCAATTTCTTCTTTTTAAAAAAAAGACCAGCTCCCTCCCATCAAAAAGTGGGCAAAGGACATGAACAGACACTTCTCAAAAGATCTACAAATGACCACCAAACATATGAAAAAATGCTCAACTTCACTAATCACCAAGGAAATGCAAATTGAAACCACAATGAGATACAGAATATATCCCAGTCACAATGACCATATGACCATTATTAAAAAGCCAAAAAAAAAAAAAAAAAACCAAATAGATGTTGGCATGGATGTGGTGAAAAGGGAACGCTGATACATTGCTGGCAGGAAGTAAATCAGCACAACCTCTATAGAAAACAGTATGGAGATTTCTCAAAGAACTCAAAGTACATCTGCCGTTTGATCCCGCAATCCCACTACTGGGTACCCAACCAAAAGAAAACAAGTCACTGTATCAGCCGGGCGCAGTGGCTCATGCCTGTAATCCCCGCACTTTGGGAAGCCGAGGCAGACAAATCACTTGAGATCAGCAGTTTGAGACCAGCCTGGCCAACATGGCGAAACCCCCATCTCTACTAAAAATACAAAAATTAGCCAGGCGTGGTGGTGGGCACCTGTAATCCCAGCTACTCGGGAGGCTGAGGCAGGAGAATCACTTGAACCTGGGAGGCGGAGGTTGCAATGAGCCGAGATAGTGTCACTGCACTCCAGCCTGGGACAGAGTGAGACCTGTCTTAAAAAAAAAATAAAAACCAAAAATATATATATTTTTAATTTTGAAAGGTCTGCTCCCCATGCCCCACCCTGGCAGGGTCTCCCCTCATTCCTTTCTGCTGTCAGCTGAATTGAAACCCTAAACCCCAGTGCTCCAGAAGGTGGCCTTATTTGGAGATAGGGTCTTTGCAGGGGATCGAGTTAAACTGAGGTCACTAGCATGGGTCCCAACCCAACACAGAGACAGATACACCTACAGCAAGATGAGGTAAAGATGGAGGCGGGCCGGGCACAGTGGCTCAGGCCTGTAATCCCAGCACTTTGGGAGACCGAGATGGGCGGATCACGAGGTCAGGAGATCGATACCATCCTGGCTAACACGGTGAAACCCCGTCTCTACTAAAAAATACAAAAAACTAGCCAGGCAACGTGGCGAGCGCCTGTAGTCCCAGCTACTGAGGAGGCTGAGGCAGGAGAATGGCGTAAACTCGGGAGGCGGAGCTTGCAGTGAGCTGAGATCCGGCCACTGCACTCCAGCCTGGGCAACAGAGCAAGACTCCATCTCAAAAAAAAGAATGGAGGCGATGCATCTACCAGCCCAGGAACGCCAGAGATTGCCACCAACCACCCGCAGCCAGGAGAGAGGCCTGGGACAGACCCCCCCCCGGCGACTTCAGAGGGAGCATGGCCCTGTGACGCCTCAGTTTTAGATTTCCGGCCTCCAGGACAGCGAGGCAATCCATTTCTGTTGTCCTAAGGCACCAAGATTGCAGTACTTTATAATGACAGCCCCAGGGAGCAACAACTACAGTTTTTTCTGGTCGCCTGTGGTTGCAGGGGTGGGTTTGAGGCAAGGAGAGTTAGTGCAGATTCCTGGAAGGCTCCCTGGAGGAGGTGGGTGTTTTTGGTTTTTTTGGAGACAGAGTCTCACTCTGTCATCCAGGCTGGAGTGCAGTAGTGCAATCACAGCTCACGGCAGCCTCGACCTCCCAGGCTCAAGAAGTCCTCCCACCTCAGCCTTCCAGGTAGGTGGGACACAGGCATGCACCACCATGCCCAGCTACTTTGTTGTGGAGATGGGGTCTTGCTATGTTGCCCAGGACGGTCTCAAACTCCTAGGCTCAAGTGATCCTTCCACCTTGGTCTCCCAATAGGCCTGGGATTATAGGCATGAGCCACCGCACCAGGCCTGGGAGGGGAGCCTTGTTGATGGGAGTAGGGAACTGAGGTAGACATTTGAAGTTTCCTTAGAATCTCTCAGGAGGGTACCGGGCGCAGTGGCTCATGCCTGTAATCCCAGCACTTTGGGAAGCCGAGGCAGGTGGATCACCTGAGATTCCGAGTTCAAGACCACCCTGGCCAACATGGTGAAACCCCGTCTCTACTAAAAATACAAAAATTAGCTGGGTGTGGTAGCGTGTACCCGTAATCCCAGCTACTCGGGAGGCTGAGGCAGGAGAATTGCTTGAACCCGGGAGGTGGAGGTTGCAGTGAGCTGAGATCATGCCACTGCACTCCAGCCTGGGTGGCTGAGACAAAGACTGAGACTCAGACTGAGTATTTGACTGAGACTGAGACTGAGACTGAGACAGAGACTGAGACTGAGACTCAGACTGAGTTTTTGAGACAGAGACTGAGACTCTGTCTCAAAAAAAAAAAAAAAAAAGGAAAGAAAGAAAGAAAAGAATCTCTCGGGGACAAGAATGGGATGGTGATGGAAGTGTTAGATGGGGAAAGAGCCCTAGACAGGGATGCGGGGAGGACAGAGGGATACCTGCCATGGACAGGTGACTGAGCACCCAGGCCTTGGTGGCCCTCATGCTGGGTGTGGGGGTGAGAGGGCATTTGTGACAGCAGGGCAGGGCTGGGCCAACAGACAGGACGTTGTGTTTTGTTGACATTCAATATAACCAGGTGATCTGCAGGGTGAGAGGGTGTGTCTGCTGGGAAGGACCAGGCTGAGGTCACTGCAGCTGTTCCTCTAGACCCACGCCCTGCCCTGGTATCCCCAGCCCCATGACTTGAGTGGGGGTGGGGCTATGAGTCCCTGGAGAGGGGACATGGAAAGGGTCAGAGGCTGCTCAAAGCTGGCCAGGGCCCCAGAGGACAGCCGATGCCAGTCGCAGAGACGGAGGAGCCACAGAATCCTGGAAAGCAGGAACAGGGTCTGAAAGGTCACATTCTACAGAGGAGGAGACTGAGGCTAGGGATGAAACCAGTGATAACATGCAGAAAGTTGGGAGAGGCCAGGAGGGGGCCAAGGAGAGGTGGGGAGAAGAAGAAAGAGAAGAGAGGGGGAAGGAAGGGGCTAGAAGAACCCAGGAAGATGGAAGGGAGGAGCAGAGAGAAAGAAAGGAGGGGGCCGGGAGCGGTGACTCGCCCCTGTAATCCCAGCACTTTGGGAGCCCAAGGTGGGAGGACCACCAGAGGTCAGGAGTTTGAGACCAGCCTGGTTAACATGGTGAAACCCTGTCTCTACTAAAAATATACAAAAATTAGCTGGGCATGGTGGCGCGTGGCTGTAATCCCAGCTACTCAAGAGCCTGAAGCAGGAGAATCTCTTGAACCTGGGAGGTGGAGGCTGCAGTGAGCCAACATCGCGCTACAGCACTCCAGCCCGGGTGACAGAGTGAGGCCCCGTCTCAAAAAAAAAAAAAAAAAAAAAAAAAAAAAAAAAAAAAAAAAAAAAAAAAAAAAAAAAAAAGGAAACCGAGCAGGGAGGAGGGTTGGGAGGGAAACAAAAGATCATGGCTAAGATGCTATTATTAGAGACACATCACCAAGGGTCTGGGAGGCACAACAAGTGCAAGGAAGGGAGTGTTTTCATTATGACGAATGGGCTGGCAGGTCTGGGTGACATCGCCACAGGGTGACATCTCAAGGGGCAGGGACCCTGAGGTCTATGGGTCCAGTTTCTGTCTTGGTTCCCCTGTGCCCTTCTCTGGGGGCTGGTGAGGGGCAGAGGACACTTCAGGAGGGTCCAACTGGAACCACAGTTATCCCTCCTGCCCTGAGTCCCTGGGTCCCCATGACCAAGAAGCCCAAAGCAGCTGAGCTGGAATGATCCTCAGAGGTCCTAATGCCTTGTCTTTTGGGGAGACCGAGACGGGAGATGAACTGAGCAGCCCCAGGGTGCATAGCTGGTTCACGGCAGGATTAGAATCTGGGGGTCCTGAAACCCCATTTTGTGCCCGTGTGTTTATCCCGGAAACATTCCCCGGGGCACACAGCAGGGTGTGCTGGTGTGGGAGGTGACAGGGAGTTAGCGGGAACATTCACTGGGTAAGGACAGACCCTAACATGGGTTGAGCATCAGTCTTGTGCCAGGGATCATGCCTGGGGGTGGCTGTTGTCAGTCCTAGCAGCAGCCCTGAAAAGCAGGTGTTATTCTTATTTTCTGGAGGGGAGTCTGAGGCTCAGAAGGGGAAACTAAAGCTCAGAGACCCTCAACTGGACAAGGCTCCAATGCCCTGGCTCTTCCCGCCAAAGCTTGCTGGGGAGAGAAGAGAAGTCCAAGGGGTGGGCACAGGGCTGAGCTCCAGGCAGAGGGCCCCCCCATTGGTGCCTTGGAGGCAGCCCTCTCTCGCGGATGGGCAGACAGAGCAGGCTGGCCCCTGGGATGGGGGCCTCGTGGGCAGCAGGGCATGGGGGTCACTCACCATGCTCTGCAGCAGCTTGTGGGGACAGGAGCGGGAGGACCAAGGTCAGCAGACACAGCGCCATGGTTCCTGGCCTCGGCATCGGAGCTCCGAGCACGTCTGACTTACCCGTTACCCCAGGAGGAGCTGGCAAAATGAGCCTCAGAGAAAGAAACTCATAAATAAATGGGTGCCAGAGACCTTTGGTCCCTGAGACACTGGGGACCAGGGGCCAGCCTGAGCCTGAGTCAGTCTGGAAGCTTCCCTCATGACTTGGGGCGCAGGGCCTGTTTCAGGCCAAAGGGCAGAGGGAGGGGGTGCCTTTCCCTGGCCCAGCAGCTCATAGGCATGAGGGTTATCAGCTTTATCACCCCAATAGAGGGGCAGCCCAGGGGGCCTGCAGGAGCCAGGGGGGAACTGATGAGACCCCCTCACCATGGGTGGTGGGAGATGGGCAAGAGGGGCCGGGCCTGAGCTGGGAAAGGAGGGAACCGCCTGCATTTGACCCTAACCCCTAGCAGGGACATCCCCTTTGTCTCTTTTCTAACCCTTCTTATTGGCCGGGTATGGTGGCTCACACCTGTAATCCCAGCAGTTTGGGAGGCTGACAAGGGCAGATCACTTGAGATCAGGAGTTTCAGATCAGCCTGGCCAACATGATGAAACCCTGTCTCTACTAAAAATACAAAAATCAGCCAGACATGGTGGCAGGCACCTGTAATCCCAGCTACTCAGAAGGCTGAGGCAGGAGAATCGCTTGAACCTGGGAGACACAGGTTGCAGTGAGCCAAGATCATGCCACCGTACTCCAGCCTGGGTGACAGAGCAAGACTCTGTCTCAGAAAAAATAAATAAATAAAATAACCCTTCTTATTGTCCTATAAGTATGCCCTGAAGACATGGCCATGCCTGGGCCAGGGAGTTGTTGGGTCTGGTCTGTGGGTTCCGAGGTAAGCACGGCTCCCAGGGCCATCTGGAGTGACCCTGCCCTGTGCAAGCCCAACAGAGCCAAGTGCTCACTCCCTGGCCAACTGGGGTTGAACCTGAGATCCTCTCCTGTCCCCAGAACCTGACCTTAGGCTTTTCTGCCACAGGGACCTCAGCAGAGGCAGGCCTAGCCCTGTCCTGACTGGAGCAGAGGAGGGGGCTCCCTGCCAGGACACAGGAAGGGGCCCAGAGCGTTCGTTCCATGACCGATTCAGCAGCCAGTCCTGGGAGGACTCTGACCCCCCACCTGAGCCCCACTGCAGAAGGAGGGGAAGGAAACCTCTCACTTCACATTCTGAGCTTTAAGATTTGCTTTTATTGGTAGGGAAATTCCAGAGTGGGGAGTCACCCAGGAGGAGACAGGGGTGCTGAGGCTTCTGGGAGTCTGGGGGCTCCTGGTTGGAAGGCCTCATAGCCCCCAGCAGGAGCACAGGCCCGGGACTGGCCAAGTCTGTCAGCTCAGATCAGGACCAGCTTCAGGGCCCGACCTCAGTCTCCTCTTGACCAACCCTGGGGGACTGCAGTCTGTGGTGGGCTCTGTGTTTGCCGCTCTCCTGTCCAGAGATAGATGAGGGTGGGAGGCCCCCACTGGCTCACACAGCAGATGCTACCATCTCCGGCCTCTGGATGTGGAGCTGGGGGGCGGGAGAGAAGAGGTGAGGCCAAGGGGCAGACCCGGGAAACGGGGAGCCCCAGGGGGAGGAGGGAGCCCTGGGGGTAGGAGGGATCCCCAGGAGGAGGAGGGAGTCCCGGGGGAGGGAGGGAACCCCAGAGGAAGTGGAGCAGCCTCAGAGGGTGGGGGCAGCTCGCAGCTGAGTCACCTCCGTGCCTGAGTCAACAGTCTCCAGGGTGGGCCGGAAGTTGTTGTAGGCGTTCTCGAGGCCGAATCTGCTCTCCCTCAGATTCTGGTCTGTAGGGAGAGGCGGTGCTGAGTGATGGGAGCCTTGGTGGGGGGGTGGGAGGGAGGACTCCGGGGCAGTGGGGATTTCTTCCAGCAAAAGAGTCAGCCCGGCATCTACCCTACACCCTTTCCCACTGCCGACCACCCCTCCGCCCCTGCATCACTGGGCAGCGAGTAAGTGCCTAGCCTGCCTGGGGAGCCGCCCGCTGGACCCTGGAACGGGAGGGAGCGGAGCAGAACTCCCTCACATGCACAGGGTGGTAGCCCGGGCCACAGAGGAGCGTTCGTGCAGCCCTGGACTCAGGGATGAGGTCAGAGTGGAGCGGGAGGCAGGGCTGGCTCTGGGTCAGCAGGGCCGCACTCCCTCATAGCAACGGTAGCCATAGCAAGCAAAAGAGCTGCGCTTGGAATCTGCTTCCAGCATCCGCCCGGAGCACAGCGATCACTTACTTCCTGGTCCCACAGAACCACTCACTCTCTTGACTCCGGGACTCTCCCCGCACCTCTGACCCCTCTTTTCCTGCCTCCTTCGAGGTCGGGGTCCTCATGCCCTACCTGTCCGTCTACGGTGGCTCCCCGGCGGGGGGTGGGGTGTTCCACTTTCACCCTCCTCACTTCTCACTCTGCATTCTCCCCGATGAATGGACAAGTTCCAGTCCGTGGTTCAGGCTGCAGACCCCTCCCGGAGCTTCAGACAGGCACCAGCCTTGCAGCCTTGCCCTCAGCACCCACCAGCCCCCCAACTCACTGTGCCCCACCGGCTGCTTCTCCCCCATCCATCGGGGCCCAAGGGTCAGCTCAGACAATCCTGGAAATCCTCCCTCACTCCCTCTCCCTCCCCCACCCTCTCAACCTCACCTCCACCACCCCCTCAGCCTCACCTCTACCAGGCTGTGTCTCCTCTTCCTCCCCCACCCCTCAGCCTTACTTCCTCCACCTGGTCTCCCTGCTTTAGTGCTCCCAGAATGGCCTTTTGAGTAAAAAAAATTCAAAATGTGGCCGGGCATGGTAGTTCATGCCTGTAATCCCAGCACTTTGGAGGCCAAGGCGGGTGGATCACCTAAGGTCCGGAGTTCGAGAGCAGCCTGGCCAACATGATGAAACCCTGTTTCTACCATCTCTACTGAAAATACAAAAATTAGCTGGGCGTGGTGGCATGCCTGTAATCCCAGCTACTAGGGAGGCTGAGGGCAGGAGAATCGCTTGAATCTGGGAGACAGAGGTTGCAGTGAGCCAAGATCACACCACTGTACTCCAGCCTGGGCCAGAGAGCGAGACTCTGTCTCAAAAAAAAGGGGGGGGCGCCAAAGCCCCTCAACCCCCCACCCCATTCCTGAAGCCCTGCCAACCTCACGTCCCTCACTCTTTGTGAGATTGACCTGCCTTCCCTTCCCCACCAAAAGCAAGCTCTTTCCCAACTGCAGGGTTTCTCACGCAGTCCCCCTGCCTGGGGTGCCCTTTCCCTTATCCTCACTGGGATAAGGCCTCCCTGCTTACTGGGCTCCCCCTCTGTTGAAGGAGGAAGCGCACCTGCTTACCCACCTGCTCAAGAATTAGTCTCACCTCGGGGCTTATCTGATCCCCCATCCCCACCCAGGCTGGGTTAGGTCCTCCCCTCTTCTCCCTCTGCCCTGGGAATGGCCCTATCACCCTGCTTAGCTGAGTGTGCATTGGATACCCTCACTGAGTTGGTCTCTAGGGGCAGGATCTGGTTCTCAACCACTCCTGCACCCTTGCACACAGCAGGGGTGGTGTTTGGGTCCGGGGCTGCAGCAGGGGGAACAGGCTGTCAGCCACAGCCACCGTGAAGGGGGGCAGGACCCCACGTCACCCCCACAGGCACAGGCACCGCCCTGTCTTTCTTCACCCTCCAGCTCTGCTCATCCCCTTGCCCTTAACTAGAGGTACCTTCCCAGATGGCCGTCTTCTGGAAAGTGCCAGGGGTGCCTTCGTTTCGCCACTCTTGAGGCATATCATACTGTTGCCTGCAGACAGAAATGCCGTGAGCAGCTGTAGTCAAGGAGGCTGAGGAGGGACTTGGTGGACCCAGACCTTCAGCTTCCCTTGAGGGGACAGTCACCGCCACACCCCAAGTCAGAGACGGCAGCGATGATGGCAGAGAACAAAAGGTAGCATCACCATAGCTTCCCCTCTTCCAAGGCAGGCACTGGCCAGGCCTCCCGGCTGCCCCTCACTCTGTTTAGTGGGCCTCAGTTTCCATATCCGTGAGATGGGGGCATAGGGTAGCTCCCTTCAATTGCCAACTTCGGGCCAAGTACTGTGCCAGGGTTTCCCAGCAACCTTCACAGGTGCATCTTATCCCATTTTACAGCTGGGAAAAGCGAGACCCAGACGCTCCATCTCAGCTTCCCCATGTGGTGCCGTGCTCTGTGGTGGCCAGGTGAGTGATAACTAACCACGGGGAATGTCATTACATAGTCTAGGTTCCACACATAAGCTTCTGTTTCCAATCTCTGTGTTATGGTTTGAACGTGTCCCTTAAAGTTCATGCATTGGAAATTTAACCCCCAACGCAGCAAAGCTGAGAGGTAGGACCTTGAAGACGTGATTAGGTCATGAAGGTGCTGTCCTCGTGAATAGATTAATGTCATTATCTCGAAAGTGGGTGTGTAATAAAAGCGAGTTCAGACAGCCGGGGGGCGGCAGCTCACGCCTGTAATCCCAACAGCTTTGGAGGCTGAGGTGAGAGGACTGCTTGAGGCCAGGAGTTTCAGACCAGCCTGGGCAATATAGTGAGACCCTATCTCTACAAAACATTTAATTTAATTTAATTTAATTTAATTTAGGGCCGGGTGCAGTGGCTCACACCTGTAATCCCAGCACTTTGGGAAGCCAGGGTGGGTGGATCACTTGAAGTCAGGAGTTCGAGACCAGCCTGGCCAACATGGTGAAACCCCATCTCTACTAAAAATACAAAAATTAGCCAGGCATGGTGGAATGCACTTGTAATCCCAGCTACTCAGGAGGCTGAGGCACAAGAATCGCTTCAACCTGGAAGGCAGAGGTTGCAGTGAGCCGAGATGATACCACTGCACTCCAGGGTGAGAGCAAGACCCTGTCTCTTAAGGAAAAAAAAAAAAAAAAGTGAATTCAGCCCTCTCTTCCTCTCTGTCCATGTGATGCAGACTGCTGTCTTTCCATGCTGTGATGCAGCAAGAAAGTCCTGACCAGATGCAGCCCCTTGATCTTGGACTTCCCAGCCTCCAAAACTGTGAGCCAAATAAACTTCTATTGTTTACAATTACCCAGTGGTGGTATTCTGTTACAATAGCAGAAAATGAACTAAAACACTCTGCCAAATTGATATATCCTATAGGAAGGCCGCCCTTTGCTGTACCCAGGGCTGGGAGGGTCTGGGCACCCCGTCTGGCCTCAGCGGACCTCTCTGACTGTTGGCCTGGAAGGAGCAGAGCCTTAGGACATTCAGACAGTGGCTGCCCCAGGGTCTGTCCCCTGTCTCTGGGCCTGCGGGGCTGGCCCCACAAGTTCACCTGTGCAGTTTTCTCTGGGATAGGCTGAATAAGATGACCAGGATGATCAATGAGAGCAGCAGCACCGCCACCACAGCCCCCACGATGCCATACACGAGGCTCTTGGCGATGTTCCATTCACAGGTCTCTCCCCAGTACCAGTGTGTATCCGTATTTGGGCACCTGGGGACACAGACAAACTCAGGCTGACCCCCCAGGATCCCTCACATCCAATATCCCAAGGGCAAACCCACTCTCCTAAACACAGGAAACCAGATCTCCCTCTCTCCAAGGGCTGGAGCTCAGCCCCCAGAGAGCCTGGGTCCCTGACTTCCTCAGGCTGATGGGCGCTGAAGGAGTTGGGGGGACCTGGAGACTGCAGATCAGGAATTGAAATGACTAGGGCTCAGGGGGACCCGAGAGTGTTGGGTGTCTCGTCCCAGACACATGCCATTCACCCATCTACTCTCTAATCGTCTGCCACCTAAATGGGCCTGTTATCGTGTTTTTTATTTTGCACTTTAATTTATGGTCTGTGGACTTAGTGCTCTGGCTGCAGCTAGAGGTAACCACGACAGCATGGCTGGGATGATGTAAGGGAAATTAACAATATAGATAGACAGAGGTAGAGATACAGACACAGATAGAGATAGAGATAGATTTGGAACTTGATAGCTTGAACTTTCTCAGGAAGGGATTGCCCTGCTCTTGGACCTTTGTGTCTATAATCTACTCCTACTCCTCACTCTTGTGGGTGTGGGGGGTGGGGATGAGGATACAGGGGAGAGGGATGTCCAGGAGTGGGGAGGAGGCACCTGCCAAGTTCTACTCAATCCCCCCACCCTGTGGGTGACTGCTGGGGAGGGGGAGGGCCCTACCACCAGGACAGAGTAGGCGCTGGGCTTGTGGGGACACTCACAGGCAGCGGGGGCCACTGCGTTGCAGCTGACACACGCCCAGATTACAGTTCATTTGGGACTTCGTTCCTTTGGTGCACTTGTTCACACAGGCCAGCTTCCCATCCAAGACATCCGCATAGTAGAATTGGGCATATTCTTTGGCAGCCTTCTGGGTGCATTGCTCTGGGGGAGAGGGGCGGGCAGCACGCATGAGCCTGGCCAAAGCACCCCAGCCCCCACTCTTAGTGACCACACTCCACACAGCTGCTTACCCTGGAAGTCAAAGCCCAGTGTCACCGATGAATCCACGAAAGTGTCCTCTTCACTATAGCACAGTATGGCCTCTGCTGAGAGTGGATAGGAAGGAAGATGGAACAGAGACACTTCCCTCTGCCTCCCTGGGGGTAGCCAGGCCTCTCTCTTCTTCTTTACTATGCCCTCCCCTGGGCCAATACCCGTGGGGTCTTTGCCCACCCTAGACATGCAGCTGGGCTTATGAGGAGGCTCAAATGGGGATATGACAGCCTCAGCCTGGGACCAACAGGAGGCTGTTGGGAGCAAGTTTGGGATCTGGAGAAGGCAGCCTGGGCCTGGCTTCTGGGTTCCTGTGGCAGGAGTCTTGGGGGTCCAGAAGAAAGAAGAGATAGGGGAGGGAGGGATCAAGGTCACGATCTCCAAGACGCCCACAGGTGTCAAGGGGTTTTAGGTGAGCCTACCTCTGCAGAAATCAGGATCATGAACTGTTTTGGTTTCATTCATAATCTTGGCCTTTACAATCTCTACCAGGTTTTCAAACAGTTCTTCATACTCTAAAGTGTAGTCTGCCTCCAGGATGACATCATTCTTGACCACGATGCTACCGTTGCTGGAAGTGGGAATTGTTTCATCAGTTACCCGTGTCACCACCCAGCCAGCAAGTGGAGACCAAGCACCCAGAGGAGTAATGGGAGATGAAGCAGCCATGTGCCCCACAGGTGAGAAAGAATACAGAGTCGTCCCCCCAGCAGCTGACCACCCAGACAGAGGGATGAGAGCAAAACGATTCAAGATCTCAAATATATCAGTGATCACAATAAATGCCAACGAGTGAAATTCATCTCTCGCAAAATAGAGGCTCTTGAATGAACAGGTGGAGAAATTTGAATCCCTGTGTCCTGTTGATGCGAAAGTAAAATAGTGCAGCTGCTATGGAAAACAGTATGGAGTTCCTTAAAAAATGTAAAGTAGAATTAATGCATGATCCAGCAGTTCTACTTCTGGGTATATACACAAAATAACTGAAAGCAGGTCTTGAATTTATATTTGTACCCTCGTGTTTTCAGTAGCATTATTTACCATAGCCAAAAGGTGGAAGCAAACCAAGGGTCCATCAACAGACAAATGGAGAAACAAAATGTGGTCTATTGTGGAATATTATTTAGCCTTAAAAAGGAAGAACAGGGCAGGAAGTGAGGTGGCTCATGCCTATCATCCCAGCACTTTGGCAGGCCAAGGCAGGAGGATTGCTTGAGGCCAGGAGTTCAAGACCAGCCTGGGCAACATGGTGAGACACCATCTCTACAAAAGATACAGAAATTAGCCAGCCAAGGTGGTGCACACTTGTAGTCCCGGCTACTCAGGAGGCTGCGGCAGGAGGATCGCTTGAGCCCAGGAGTTTGAGGCTGCGGTGAGCTATGATTGCACCACTGCACTTCTGGCAACAGAGCAAGACCCCATATTTTTAAATTTTAAAAATAAAGAAAGAAAAAGAAAGGTAAGTTTATAACCTAGAAGTTACTTCTTCAATAGCCAATGATGCAACTGAGGGGAGAGGTCTTGAGACAAGGCAAATCACCTGTCACTGTCATTTTGAAAGATAAGTCAGTAGTAGGACTCAGGAGGACTTGAACAAAAAAAATCCTGAGCCAAAATGGAGAGAAAGACCAGGGTGCCAATGCTGAGCCAGGGGCAAGGTTGGGGCACCGGGACCCTCTCTTCCCTGCTGCAAGGACACGGCACTCTTGAGGCACCCTTCCCACTCCTCTGTCTGCCTCTTTCCACTCTCCACTGGGGGCTCTGGCTAGATCTTAAATGTTGCTGCTTTCCAGCTTCATTCCTGGGAGACCCTCGTTTTGTGCTATGACCCTCCCTCACCCCCGACCTGGGCCATCTCATCCCACTCCCAGGACTTCCAGCGACATCCATCTGGGGATACCAATGCCCGTGTCTCTCATAAGCCCCTTTAGAGGCTGGGCATGGTGGCTCACGCTTGTATTTCAGCACTTTGGGAGGCCGAGGCGGGAGGATCACTTGAACCCAGGAGTTTGAGACCAGCCTGGGCAACATAGCAAGACCCCATCTCTGCAAAAATTACAAACATTAGGTCAGGGGCGTGGCTTACACCTGTAATCCCAGCACTTTGGGAGGCCAAGGCGGGCAGATGACTTGAGGTCAGGAGTTCAAGACCAGCCTGGCCAACATGGTGAAACTGTGTGTCTACTAAAAATACAAAATTTAGCCAGGTGTGGTGACATGTGCCTGTAGTCCCAGCTACTTGGGAAGCTAAGGCAGAATAATCACTTGAACCTGCAAGAAGGAGGCTGCAGTGAGCCGACATTGCACCACTGCACTCCAGCCCGGGAGACAGAGCAAGACTCTGTCTCAGAAAAAGCAAAACAAAAAAATTACAAAAATTAGCCAAGCATAATGGCACAGGCCTGTAGTCCCAGCTACTCAAGAGACTGAGATGGGAGGATTGCTTGAACCTGAGAGGTTGAGCCTACAATGAGCCGTGATTATGCCACTGCATTCCAGCCTGGGCAAGAGAGCAAGACCCTGCCCCTCGATCCCCCCAAAATAAGACTCTTTAGGGCATATTCCACTGCTGTATCATGCAACTACTCCATGTGGCTGGGCCCTGGGCACTTGAAAGTTGACATGGTGCACACCAAACTCATTACCTCCTTCCCCCATTCTACCTCTCATGACATTCCTTGACCCATCACAGGGCACCCCACACCTCCAGCAGCCCAGAAATCTGCCCTCATTCCTCATTCTTCTCTCCCTCCTCTCCCACAGCAAATTCCATGGTCTGCTGATCCTGCCTCCCAAAGACCTTTCACACTGGACCCGTTTGCTCCTATACTGTCACCTATCTGGTGTAGGCCACCATCATCTCCAGTACAGACTTCTGCTTATGCAATCTCCATCCTACAGCCAGACTGAGCTGTCTACTCTGCAGACTAGACACTATCCACTGTGGGCCTACACTGCTGATGCCGAAAGTCTGACTAACTTGGCATGAGCCATCTTTCCAACCTCCTGCCCAGTTACTGCTCCTTTGCTCTTAAGCACCCAGCTGTTCCGAGCGTCTTTAGGTTCCTGGAATCTGCCCTCCTCTCTCTCCTGTCTGGGCTCCTTCTCACTGATTCCCGCTGCTGCAACTGCCTCTCCTTCCCTTCCCCCTCTCTGGATCATTCCTCCTCATGCTTCAAGCCTCAGTTTTGCTGTTACTTTTTTTTTTTTTTTGTACAGATGGGGTCTCGCTATGTTGCCCAGGCTAGTCTCTAATTCCTGGCCTGAAGTGCTCCTCCCACCTTGGCCTCGCAAAGCATTGAGATTACATGCATGAGCCACCACGCCCAGCCTGTTGCCAGTTTTCCCAGAAAGAATTCCCTCTGCCTCACCAAGCTTTGCTTTTGGGACCTCTCCCAGGGCACCCTGTGTGCCCCTCACTGTAACTCTAAGCAGACTGCACAGCCACTTTTCCGTCTGTGTTCTGCCACTCTGAGCTCCAGGAAAACGGGACTGCTGTGTTCCCAGCACCCAGCAGGGGGTTGGCTTTCAACAAATGTATGTTGACTGGATGAATGAATGAAGAATGAATGGTCTCACAGCCCCCTGCACTTACCTAGCGGCTGCAGTCCTCTCTGACCCAACCAGGTATTGACATTCTAGCCATTCATGATAGGAGGAGGCAGGAAAGCAGGGACAAGGAGGATTTCCCCACATCTATAAATCTGCCCCCCAATATACTCACAGCAATCTCCGAATGTTCACCCCTCTATACTGTGGAAGATCGTCGCCCGTCAAAACGACATCCATCTGAAAGAAACAAGGCAGTGAAGGTCACACAGAGCTACAGCGTGAAGACTCTCCTGTTCCCCGTCTCGAGGCAGCCCTAGGCACCCTTCTGTGGAGCCCACGTAAGATCCCATAGGAAGAACCACCACCCCAGGAAGCTCCCTCTGCCATAATGTGGGTCATGTGGGGCTGAAGGCTGGAAACTCTCAGAGGACCTCCTTTCAAGACTTAGGGAGACTGGTAGGGAGGGGGCTCATGAGCAGAACTCAGATCACTAAGTCAGGGTGCACTCCCCAATTTCCTCTCATGTGGGACATCACCCTGGGATGTCTGGGTGTGCCCTGGTCTTACCCGATTCTTGAAGAGGTTAGTGAAGTTCTGGTATTCCTGGGAGGATGAGTCATTCATCTGTTCTGTGAAATTTCTGTAAGTCACTTTCACTGTCATACCTAAAGTGGCATTGAGTTTTTCCGGGGTTTCTGTGGGAAAAGGCCATGGTATGCGTGAGACAGCGACCTCCCAATAATGTCCTCAAGTATTGATACAGTCTCTGCCTGTGGGTGTCTTGCAGGTGAAGGAAACTTAAGAGGAAGGTGGGGGTCACTGCCTGTCTCCCAAAACCCTTAGGAGCCAGTGGCCAGGAGGGGAAGGGACAGTACTAAGTACAGAAGCCCTCTGATGAGAGGGACAGGTGAGCTAATGGAAAGGGCCCTGGGCCAGGTGCTGTGGCTCACACCTGTAATCCCAGTGCATTGGGGAGATGGGAAGACCTGCCTGGGCAACAAAGTGAGACCCTGTCTCCACAAAAGTAAAAATATTAGCCAGGCGTGGTGGTGCACACCTGTAGTCCCAGCTACTCAGGAGGCTGAGGCTGGAGGATAACTTGAGCCCAGGAGTTCAAGGCTGCAGTGAACTATGATCTGCACCTCTGCACTCCAGCCTGGGCCACAGAGTGAGACCCTATCTCAAAAGAAAGGGAGATTCCTAAAACTAAAAATAGAGCTACCATACAATTCAGCAATCCCACTGCTGGGTATATATCCAAAAGAAAGGAAATCAGTACATCGAAGAGATCTCTGCACTCCCATGTTTGTTGCTGTTCACAATAGCCAAGACTTAGAAGCAACCCGAGTGTCCATCAACAGATGAATGTATAGAGAAGACCTGGTACATATACACAATGGAGTACTATTCAGCCATTAAAAAGAATGAGATCCTGTCAATTGCAACAACATGGATGAAGCTGGAGGTCATTGTTAAGTGAAATAAGCCAGGCACAGAAAGACAAACATTGCATGTTCTCACTTACTGGTGGAATCTAAAAGTCCAAACAATTGAACTCATGGAGGCAGAGTAGAAGGATGGTTACCAGAGGCTGGGAAGGGTAGTGGGGTGGCGGTGAGACGGAGGTGGGCATGGTTAATGGGTACAAAAAATGCATAGTTAGAAAGAATGAGCAAGACCTGCTATTTAACACAACAGCGTGACTATAGTCAATAAGAATTTAATTGTACATTTAAAAATAACTAAAATAGCTGGGTACGATGGCTCATGCCTGTAATCCCAGCACTTTAGGAGGCCGAGGCAGGCAGATCACCTAAGATCGGGAGTTCCAGACCAGCCTGGCCAATATGGTGAAACTCCATCTCTACTAAAAATACAAAAATTAGCCGGGCATGGTGGCCCATGCCTGTAATCTCAACTACTCAGGATGCTGAGGCAGGAGAACTGCCTGAATCCAGGAGGTGAAGGTTGCAGTGAGCCAAGATCGTGCCACCACACTCCAGCCTGGGAGACAGAGTGAGACTCTTTCTCAAAAAATGAAAAAATAAAATAAAATAAAATAAA